AAGAATATGAACAAGTACTGCGTGTACTTGTACTGTACTGTACCGGAGAGTGTTGCAAGCATAACCTAGTGTGCGGGAGAGGGTGTGGATGACCTTAGATATTTCAAGTACTATTCACAAGTATTTGTCTCTTAGTATCAAATAATTTATAAAGTTATTAATGAACCTCATCTTTTCAACCTAAACTCCTAGAATGTGACCAAAAACGTGATTATTTACTTTTTTATTCCTCTGGTTTGAGAGAAATTTCAACTATTTTTATCTTCGCTTATTCAATATTTCACCAGTAGTGTTACCGTCCTATATACACAAATTAATAGAGAGATTATCAAAAATTTCAGACTATTCCGTAACTTTGTCCTATTAGGAAATATGAAAATTTATGAAGATACGAACGAAATCCTTAAGATGTTTGGAAGATCTATGAAAAGTCAAGTGCACACGAGGAAGATTCACAACAGTGTCGTCTGGATCCTCAAAGCTTCGTAATATCATTTCTCTCGCTACAAGTTACGACAACACACAACACTGGTTTTCAATAGAACCTCAGTGCAAATCCGAAGCAATTTTACCCTCCTTCATCATCCTCGAACTTAACTCTAAGTAATTTAGATTCGTTCTGCCATCTCTATTTAGGGGAAAAATTTATCGTACGATGTACAGGTATTATGAGTCCAGGCCAGAACAACCCCCCCGCCCTACCCCTCCCCACCCACCACCCTCCCCACCCCTCCTCACCGCCCCCCCACCCACCACCCCCACCCCTCACCCTCACCGTTCCCCCACCCCTCACCCTCACCGCCCCCCACCCCCAGATCTCATTACTCTCACAAAATGAAGACTTTACCCGAGCCTCGTAATGATGGGAGCGCTGGGTCGTCAACCACGTGATTAAAACAGCGCATATATCTCCGGTGCTTGACCTGTTATGGGGCACACGTCCTCTCTTATCTGTGATGAGTACAGGTCCACTCTTACCTGTGTCGGAGTACAGTGTGTGAAGGTAGATGCATGTACTGTAGGTACAGGTAGGTTCAGAGGGGTACAGTTAGGTTCATAGGATGTAAGATACAGTACAGTCCCTCTCCTGACAGATCACTGCCCTCTGGTGTGACTTTATGATAATAAAGAATAAACAAAATATAAAATAATATTGTCACTTTGGTTTATATAACTAAAGTAAAGGAGGAAGAAATAGGAGATAACAGTGAGAAAGAGGATCTATTCAAAAGTTAGTTCATTAAAGTATTGCTGGTAACTGACGAGGGAGTGTGTAGACCCCCAGACGACAGGCCATAGTGAGACCTCGGGGAGTTTGCTCCGCTTGATATAACCTTTTAATTGAAGACTTTTTCCCTTTGATCTCCCCCCCCCCCCTTAGTCGTGAATAGACCATGAGAATGATTGAATTCTAGAGGCATTGCTGACCGTCACCACCACCAAGCCAGAGAACGGGATAACACTGTCTATCCAGGAAGGTTTTGACGCTACACTCGTGTTAGTAGTTTAAAGCTGTTCCTCACAAGTTGCAATTAGAGAAGAGGTAAATCTTTTATTGCCCTAACAGCTCAAGGTAATGCTAGACTCAGAGTGGGTATACAAGAATTGTTAAGTTAATTTCAGCTTCTCTATATTATGAAAAAAATCCCCATTGTTGTCTCGCCTGTTGCCTGTACAGAAAGTTAGGACTTCTTTAAGCTGTTTAATGACCTTACTAACTACAGACGACCTGAGCCGCTTCTCTTTTATGAGTAAAACGCTCATTAGTATTGATCTGTATTATGGAGGCCGGCGTAGTAGTCGCCTTTCTCAATTATCCAGCAATTGACAAACTGTGCAACAAAACTTCTAATAATTGTTCACGAAGAATGATAAAACACGAGCGTTCAGCACAGCTACACGAGTGGGGAGGAGGCATTGTTGTTACTTATCCACAATGAAGAACAAGAAAAATATATTTGGAAAAAGGTTCATTTGTTTAAGGTAAAGTGTGTAGTGCATATGATAAAACTTCCCTCCCAGCGCACTCCACCTTTATTGCCGTCCGTTCTTCCCACAGATAATGGGACTGAAGATTACATTGTCTCCTAAAGAACTGAACATATTGTAGGAGGACAACCTTACTAAAATTATGTCCTCCAGCCCCCTCTAGTCCACTGCGGATATATGGAATCTGTTACAGGAATAACCATAGGAACCAACACTCCTCATGTACTGCCACTACCTATCGATCCTCTACCCTGTTATCGTTAGCGCATTGATCCACCTGTACTGTTCATTCACTTCACCGTGTTAAGAGGCTGGAGACCTAATACTGGCCACGGTTCTAGAAAGAGGTCATTGTGATACCAAGGAATACTATAGTAACATATTCCTGTAGATCATAAAAATAAGTTGAGGCTTATTACGAGAGGCTAGAGGCTGGCCTGTGTAATACTAAGCCGGGTGTATTTCCCCCACGCCTCTCCTTACATACATAATACAATTACTTAATATAATCTATATGATGAGAACAGGGGGTTAATTTAGGTGTGTGTGTGTGTGTGTGTGTGATGATCAACATGAGGGGTTGCGGGTAAAATTATTCTGGCCTCGTATTTGCATCATTAATCTCTATAGTGTGACCGTGATAAATCAGTGCCATTAAATGTGAACGTCCGTGTCAGTTAAGTAGGACAAAATATAACCGCTATAAAACCGACAGCTATTTTAACATAGTACTGTTACTCTCCCTGTAGCAGCTGTTACTCTCCCTGTAGCAGCTGTTACTCTCCCTGTAGCAGCTGTTACTCTCCCTGTAGCAACTGTTACTCTCCCTGTAGCAGCTGTTATTCTCCCTGTAGCAGCTGTTACTCTCCCTGTAGCAACTGTTCCTCTCCCTGTAGCAGCTGTTACTCTCCCAGTAGCAGCTGTTACTCTCCCTGTAGTAGTTGTTACTCTCCCTGTAGCAACTGTTACTCTCCCTGTAGCAGCTGTTATTCTCCCTGTAGCAGCTGTTACTCTCCCTGTAGCAGCTGTTCCTCTCCCTACAGCAGCTGCTACTCTCCCTGTAACAGCTGGTACTCTCCCTGTAGCAGCTGTTACTCTCCCTGTAGCAGCTGTTACAGCAGCTGCTACTCCCCTGTAACAGCTGGTACTCTCCCTGTAGCAGCTGTTCTCCCTGTACTCTTACTTTCCTGTGTTACTCTCCCTGTAGCAGCTGTTACTCTCCCTGTAGCAGCTGTTACTCTCCCTGTAGCAGCTGTTACTCTCCCTGTAACAGCTGGTACTCTCCCTGTAGCAGCTGTTATTCTCCCTGTAGCAGCTGTTACTCTCCCTGTAGCAACTGTTCCTCTCCCTACAGCAGCTGCTACTCTCCCTGTAACAGCTGGTACTCTCCCTGTAGCAGCTGTTATTCTCCCTGTAGCAGCTGTTACTCTCCCTGTAGCAGCTGTTCCTCTCCCTACAGCAGCTGCTACTCTCCCTGTAGCAGCTGTTACTCTCCCTGTAGCAACTGTAAGCTCTGTCTTAGAAACGTTTCAAGAAAATTGAAAAAAAAATTTTACAAAACTCTTTAATCAACTCACTACCTGAACATTGTCTCCACTGTTGTATTATTTTAGTCTCTGTCAACATCAGTGAGAATTAGGAGTAATTAATTATAAGCCTTAAAACTATTAAAATTCCTTCCTGGAGATATCTCTATTTCCTCTAAATCTCTCACTCACAAACTACTTAACCTCAGGGCCACACTAGCTTAGGCAAACCCCATCTCCCTGCTTCTCTCTCCCCCAAAATGGTAACAAATATTCTGAAAACATTTTAATCAATTACTGTATTATAACTTTATACGACCATCGGGTTTATTACAATATCGTCTATAAACAGATACTTACGGTACTAGTGATACAGACTAGTACTGTAACCGGGTGTAATGAGACTCTCTGTACCTATATATAAAAGCGAGTCCCTCATGTATTCTCGAGCAGGAGTGGGATAATAAGCCTCGTGTACCCTCGTGTCTGTCTGTTTGTTATGACTTCCTCTGGTGTAGGTAGCGGGGAGGCTGATGCTGTCTTAGTGGGTAATACTCTTGTAGCTAATGTCAAGGCTTCATATATGTATTACTTTTATAATTATTTTGGTTTGTTTTTGTCACATATTTGTAATATTTTTATGGGTATTTTTTTACGGTGATTCTTTTTATTAATTATGTTATTTTTTAATAGTAATATAAATGAACAATTTCACAAAAACTTTAAACGACCCCAAAAAGACATAAAAAAGCATTGTGATTGATGCCATACGACGGGCAATTACAGTACTAACGAACTACGATAATAAATAACGAATCAGTTTAATAACTTTTTTCAGATCAGAACAAAAATTATTTCTCCCTAAATTCATTAATATACATAAAGTTGTTTTGTACTCGTGGGTGAATACAGTAAGATAATTAGGGAAGAAGAAGCTTTTGTTAAGGTTAATGAAGCAGGTAAGAGGCACAGGTGTAAACGCAGGTGAGTGGGATTTATCGTTTATCTTTCTTAATTAAGGTAAATTAATAAAATACCTAACATTAATGTAATCTTCGGGGAAAATTTCTGTTAATTACCACACTACCACAGTCTGTTTATCTGTTACAAGTGACTGTACGCTTATAAATTACCAAGACAGTACTGTTAATCTTTATAAGTAAGACACCATGAAACTAAATCACTTCAGGTTATTGATTTCAACTCTGTTAAATCACAACATGGATCATCAACCACCTTGTACAGTGAACGAGTAAACTAAATAAATCAATCACTCGTATGGAACTTATAAAACAGCTGGCGACTAGATTAAAATATTTATTAAACCTTTAGTTTTTTCTTTGTCAAAATTATGTTTAGGAATAATTATACAAAATAAGTTCAAGGAAAAAATTAGTAATTAAATTTTTTCACATATCTGTATCACAAAGTTTAATTTAAAAAAACACCAAACGAATATATTTTTGTTTCATCTCATTAATAACATTGAAGTACAAGTCATTAATACGTTTAATTTCTAAATAATTAATTATTATATACGTTAGCTACTGAAAAATTGTTATATCAAATGAATGAATTAATAGCAGAGAACAGCTCAAACAATTTAACTGATGGTAAAAAAAAGTTAGTTTAATTTTTCATGATGAATAATGACCACACACACACACACACACACACACACACACACACACACACACACACACACACACACACACATAAACACACACACACACACACACACACATAAACACACACACACACACACACACACACATAAACACACACACACACATAAACACACACACACACACATAAACACACACACACACACACACACACACAATCACACACACACACACGAAACTGTTAATCACTCCGGTAAATGGCGCTAGTGTAGCCTCTTAGTCCCAGGGTGGCAATATTGACAGTCCCCCACCAGTCTAACACCAGTCACTACTCTACCACGACTACCAGTCACCAATCTACCACCACCACCTATGTTTACACTCACTTTTGTATTATACTCTTAAGTTAAGTTAGGTTCCTCGAAGGATTTAGTGGTAAACATCAACTTTTCACTCGTTATGATCCTCGACCCATGTTAGTGAAAGATAATATGAGTCTCACAGGCCTTGACGACTCGTTACGGGCGATATGAATACAGATAATTCTATATTGTTAATGAAGTCCTCTTAGGGGTGTCATTTGACTTGGTTGTTGGAAGCTTTTGTGTGTTGAATATACTACAACTTACTTTTTTTATTCTAGACTGTGTCCATATACATCCAGCTCTTCAACTTCCTACCTGACGATACCAGTGATATAGCGACCGATCTGGTGACTCTACCCCGCAAAGTCAGCCTCTCCATGTTATATCTCTTGTATTGTTGTGAAGGTCTTGATCACAGCTCCACGTGTCCTGCTCCAGACTGTTGATGGGATCTTCAGCTTCCTCAGACAGTCTTCTTGATTCATTTTTTTTTTTTGCCATCTGAACACTCTGGGGTGCGTGGCTGTCTTGCGTCTTGTGTGGATGCCATGTTGCTATCCCATTCTCTACAGTATATGTGGAAGCACATTGTCTTGTGCAACTATTTGATGTTCTGTGCATCAAGGTGGGTGAATGATCACTGGATCAGACCATCATCTGGTTCGTCTTGTCAGTTTTATTGTTTAAATGATCGTAAAACGTAATCACTTATCAGATCCGTTCCGGAGACTGTCTAGGTCCAGTTAGGGTTGCTTCTGGTTTTGATAACACTGACAGTCAGGACATCTTTGTCAGTTGCTCCCTGCATCTGCCATACCCTCACTGGCGGTAAACAGTGAATCGTATATCAAAGTCTTAGTTGTATTCAATCTTTATCAACTTCGAAAAACATGAACACCGTTTGGTTGGCTTAACCTAATCGTCACCAAGCCTAGACTTACTGATTAACATAAGGAGATGTTAGTATTCACGTTGTCATATGACTGCTTTGACACGGGTACCGAATCATCTCAACATTAATGTGATAAACCTTATGATCATTTTAGACATCTCGTTGATATTATTAGATATCATTGTTCAGTCTTCAGAGACCTATTAGAGTAAGTCTTTTTGTATAAGAATATTCACGCCGCCATCTCTCCTGGCTGCTTTTGTTTCCTTGGTCATGTGTGAACTCCCTGACCTGCCGTAAACAATGGACTCAGCTCGTGAAATCTCATTTTATGGCTGAGGATGAAGACGTAACCTGTCAACGCTCCCCCACCCCTGGGTCACACACTCCATGCAACGATTATGAAGGTCTGAACCTGTGACTGTGACTCGTCTAGGAACGTGTTATGGAAAGCTCAAAGGACATTTTTTTCCCCAATTGCCTGTTCATCTCGCCGCTACTTTAGTTCAACTTGGTCAAAAATAAATTCAGTCGAACTCTGCTGACTTGGTTGACACTTAAGTTCTCCCCCGCACAAAAAGTCAGATAGCTTCTCAGTTACTAATGATACTCTCACCCCGTCCCTCCCCCCAGTCCTGCTGAGTGTATGTACGGTCCCAAAACAGATTTTACTTGGCATAAGTTCCCGATATTACCCATTACTGGTGACTTTCATTAACTTGTATCTCAAATAAAGTAATAAACATAGCATAAGTTATGTTCTGGTGTAGAATAATGTGAAATAAACCAACAAAAAAATTTACTACGAGACAAGCTTTTCATTGTGTTGGTGCCATTAGTGTGAGATATTTACCCGACCTCTTTCCCTTTGATCAGTCACCATCAAAACTTTCCTCCCGGGAAGAACAGTACAGCATCTTTTATGGCTCGGGGGGGGGGGTAATTGCTGCAAAAAAGCTGTCTCTAATGAGGCTGTTTTAGCATCAATAAAAAATAAATTAGTCTTTGTAAAGGAAAGTTTGTAATTTATGAATGATATAACACTTGCCGTTGTCTCTATTTCTCTTATTTTTAGGTTAGGTTAGGTTAGGTTAGGTTAGGTTAGGTTAGGTTAGGTTAGGTTAGGTTAGGTTAGGTTAGATTAGAGTTGTGAGGTCGTGATGGTGACCAGTCCTCGCTGCCCCAGCTTACAGTGGTTCTCTAACTAACACTGACTACAATATATATATCGGATCTTGAGTATCATCTTTACCGTGTGTATGTGTGTGTGTGTGTGAGTGTATGTGTGAGTGTGTGTGTGTGTGTGTGTGTGTGAGTGTGTGTGTGGTAAGAGTGATGTGTTATTGTGTGTATGCGTCTGTGTCCCCGGGGAGTCAGAGTAGAGAGAAGTAAAGAGAAAAGTTTGAGAGAAAGATAAATAACTTCATTGAATTCTTTAACGTGTGAGTTAAGACTGGCAATAATGGTAAATTTAAACTCAAAAGAAGATAATGCAGAACTTGACGGGATGTTGAGGTCAGTACACAATACCTAGAAGGAATGGAAATGAGGAGACACTGATACAAACGTGGAATAAGAATGTTGATAAAATCGGGTACATAAGAACAAACTGTAGTAGTGAAGAATGAATAAGAAAAGGTGGAGACTAAAGTGAATATATATACAACTCTTATGTGGAACAGAGGAGAAAAAGGTGGGGGTTATCCTGATAGGGATGTGGAATATTCAAAAGATTATAATCAAGGAAGAAAAGATAATGTGTAAAGAAGGGAGGAGACGGGATGTTATCTGCCCAAGAACAAAAAAGTACCAAGTGTAGATGGAATTATTATAGAAATGTTAAAGCTGGGAGGTGGAAAAGTGATAAAATGAACAACAAGAGTGTATAGATGAAGAAATTACATAATACCACTTAAATCATGAAACTTAAAATCTTATTGTTATAGAAGATTAAACACGGGTTAACAAGATCACTGACTTATATGTGAGAGAGGGAGGAGGAACAGAGGAATTTCAGAGAACATGCGTATAAGTTCTCTTGTATAAATGGAAACTTAACAACTAATACAAAAAAATCATTGAGGAATTCGTCTGATGAGCTTATCATAGGAAGTTGATGGTAGAAACACAATAGAGAGAATCGTAATAAAAGATTGTAAGTGTTAGTAGGAAGATCAGAGTAAGTTGAGAAGAGGAAGTTGTGTGGAAGATGTATTTGTGTTACAGAAACATGTCTGACAAGTTTCCGGTGAAGAGAGAGAATTTAGCTATGATATTTATGGAACTAAAAAGACATAATATAAAACAGACATAAACAACAACAAAAATTTTATGGGTGGAACTGGATATATACAAATGGAACGTTGTTGAATGTCATCCAATATTTTTTTTTCTTTTATAGAGAGTGAAAAGTGTGTTAGGTGCGTGTGTGTCGAGAAGAGGAGAGCTGGCATCAAGTGAGAGTAGGGATGTATTAAGGATAGGTAATAGTCGCTACAGTTGTTCGGTATATTCATAGGTACGGTAGTAGGGGAGGTAAGGAAGTAGGTGATGTAAGGTAAAGTAAGGTATCAGGTAAGGTATCAGGTACAAGGTTGGGTAAGAACAACACATTATGTAAAGGAGAGTTGAGTCTGGAAAATTAATTACAGTTAAGTAAAATTTTCGAGCCGTGTAAAGCTTACGGGTTGATTAATTACAACCATATTAAGCTGACGAGAACATAAGATGAAGTTGAATCAAACCATTAATTAAAGCTTTCAGTAGATGAAGCTGAATCAAACAACTAATTTAAGCTTTCAATAGATGAAGCTGAATCAAACAACTAATTTAAGCTTCCAAGAAGATTTGATAAATTTTACTCAAGCTTAGAGGCACCAAAAAGACGACCAAGGCAAGAGCGAAATTTGTTTAGAGATGGAGGGAAGGAAGGAGGGAGACAGACAGATAGAAGGAGAGAAAGAGAGAGAGAGAGAGAGAGAGAGAGAGAGAGAGAGAGAGAGAGAGAGAGAGAGAGAGAGAGAGAAGGTGGCGGCCAACTTGAAACACTGTCGCCTCCACGCCGCTATCCATCATCACCCACAGTTTTTAGCCTCGCCTTTCATCATCTTGTTTTTATTTCCTTCCAAAACTCGTAAAACTTCTTCTCTTGGAAACATTCGGTAACTTTGGTTTCATAACTTTGTTTTTCTTGCTCTTAAATCTGTTTAATGGCTGAATATTATTTTGATCGTAGTGGCTCACCTGACCTGTACTAAAAACAAACACAAAACAAAAAAGTGTTTAAGCTCGTTGTGCTTTGAAAAGTCTCTATATTGTTTATGTGTTTTGTCTCATTTCAAGTATTATTGGAACTCTCTCTCTCTCTCTCTCTCTCTCTCTTTCTCTCTCTCTCTCTCTCTCTCTCTCTCTCTCTCTCTCTCTCTCTCTCTCTCTCTCTCTCTCTCTCTCTCTCTCTCTCTCTCTCTCTCTCCATCCTTCCTTCCTGAGGTAAACAATGGAGGGAGGGAAGGAAAACTACCCCCCACCCCTTACTTACCTTTTCAATCTACATCTTGACTTTGAAGGATAGAAAAATTATTATGTACCTGGTGAATGGTTCTATAATGATCATTTTATTATAGTACAGGAAATAAAATTGATAGGTCCGGGGTGGTTATACAGCGGAGGGGAACTTTAGGGAAAAATTATAGGGGAAGGAGGAATTTTTTCTCCCCTCCTCCCACACTCAGGGATTGGTTTCTGCCAGGCGTGGGCAACCTTCCCTCAGTCATGGGTAGCATTACGATTTAGGTATTTTTCTGCGGGCCAATCCACCAAAATTAAGATCCTACCTAACCCAAAAGTAATGTTTGATGGTTACAAGTGTTCCCTGAAGAATGCAGTGATGGGTAGGGAAACACCGGGTAACACTGAAGTCCGTTTATTATGGATGAGAGAAATACAAGTGGTGACTAGCGTGTGCCATGCACGGCTCACAGTCAGACTGAGACTGCCTTGCCATACGGCAGCCTCGGGGCAATGTTGCCACATAACACGTGCAGTGTTGCCACGTAATTATATATATAAATGCTACTCGGCACAGTAGCTTATTTACAAGGTTGCTACTCGGCACAGTAGCTTAGATGCATAACCTACAATGTTAATATTGTATTAGCACGGACAGTGAAGCAGTTTATCCTCACCTCCACCTTACGATATTTTCAGTTTACATTCAGACTTTTTACCCATTACGAAACATATGCATCATAATAATTTTTAGGTAATATGTTCAAGTTTCTTGACATTTAACAGAAGATTAGTGAAGCAGTCTGTGAATTCCTTGATTTTTCCTATAATTACAACATTTTTCTTACTCATGTCAAGTCAGGTAAAAAATATGAGACCCACTAAGCAGCTATCATACATCTACCTCAACTGCTTTCAAAGTATTTTTAACCTTGGGCCACTGACAAATAAATTTGTGTAACATATCAGTTTTGTACTGACCATCACTAAGGCTTAAATAATTAATTTTTCTAATCAAACTTGGTTCAATTAGAAGTTTTTC